TCTCTTGATGACATGTCCAAAATGTGAAACAAGTTTTACCATCCTTGCTTCTAAGGAATCTCTGCCTGTACTTCTTTCAAGACAGATTTATTAGTTCTTTTGACAGCCCATGGTACATTCTATAGTCTTCACCATGATTCAAATGCGTCAATTCTTCTTTGATCTTCCTTATTCAGGGTCCAATTTTCACATGCATATGAGGCGATTAAAAATACCATGGCTCAGGTCAGGCACACCTTAGTTCACAAAGTAACCTCCTTGCTTTTCAACATTTTAAAGAGGTCTTGTGCAGCAGAGTCACCCAAGGCAATGTGTAGTTTGAGCTACTGACTGCTGCTTCTGTGAACGTTGATTGTGAATGCAAGCGAGATGAAATCCTTACCAACTTCAATATTTTCTTAATTAAGGATAATGTTACCTATTGGTCCAGTTGTGAGAAATTTGATCTTCTTTGCATTGAGCTGAAAGCTATACTAGGGGCTGAAATCCTTGCTCTTCTTCAGCAAGTGTTTTGATCCTCCTCGCTTTCATCTTCTGAATATGGAAGGTTTTTAATTAACCTTCTTCCAAATCCTTCTCGTATACACCAGCTTCTTGGATTATTTGCTCAGCACATAGATTGAATGAGTACGGTGAAGGGATACCACCCTGACATGCAACTTTCCTGATTTTAAATGATGCAGCATTCCCTTGTCTCTCAAACCACTGCCTCTTGGATCATGAACAGGTTCCACATGAATACCTGTTTTTAGCATTGTGTTATGTTAAGATCTACTGATATGGGATTAAATTAACATTAATTGGGGAGAAATAGCTCAGAAAGGAAATGAAGAGGAGAGTAGTACAACAAGCTGTTGGGTTGGCATATGCTTTGATGTATACATTCTCAATATAAAAGACAAAATGAATAAGATACATTTTGAAAAAGCAGAAGAAAATGTTTCTAGTGTGTCAAAGACTTTCTCTTTGCCTCTTATCTAGAGGTATCACTGTCCCTTGGGATCGAACAGCAATCCACCTCTTGAGGATTAGAACTGTGGGAACCTTGTGTTTACTCGAAATATATTGCCTTTAGTTCCCAGGTGTTGAATTACTCAGAATAAAAATTGTCTTTATAATGGATATAGCCTTGAATGTGGAAATATTAAGCTCCTGTGGGCATGCCCTGAGTTTATATCTTCATGAAGAAGCCCCAGAGAATGAGTAGCATAAGTTACATGATGAATCTCCTTCCATAGCAAAGCACATCAGCCTGAGTGATCCAAACAAAGATGACAATAATAAAATCCAAATATAATGAAGGGAATGGTATCGGAGCTGAAATTGTGAACACCCAATTGGTATAAGGCTCAGGAAGACACTGGGAGCCCAAAATCCACCAGATTAAGCCACTGGCAGTTCACCTCTGGCCACAGGGGAGGGACTCAAGCAGTTTTACTATTAGAGGGACTATTGCAAATTTGATTATGGTGGATCAAATCACAGTATAATATGATATTTGGAACTCCAGTGGAACTCCCTCTTGACCCAACCTGAATTTGTTTTAGGCTCAAATATTTCTCATTTGTTCCATGACAGAAATTTCTTCTATAGCTTTTTTAATATTGTTGGTGGTATTTTCTTCCTTACAGTTTATTTTTATCTTTATATTGTCATTATTTTCTTCTTTCTGGTTTGTTTTGGTTTTCTTTTTTATTGTGTCTCTTAGATTTTCCAGTGTATGAAGCACAGAAGTAATGGGTGCATAGAGACAGCAATTGATGCAAGGGTTTTAGCTGGGATGAGAGGGGACACAGGGTGAGTGAAAAGGGGGAGCCAACAATGAATGTGGGAGGGAGAGGGAGCACTAGAACCGAGTGTGATGCATATATACAACTCGATGGAAGTGTATGCTATGTGAATATTATGGCAAGAAAATTACTTTTAAAAACTTTGTTTAAAAAGTTGGCCAATGGTTACCATGAGGGAAAGAGTAAGATGTTTTTGCTCAGGGGGTATTGAGTTGATGTTAATGGTGGTGAAATAATTTGAAAAAGGATATCAATGATGGTTGTACAACATGAAGAGTATAATCAATGGCGCTGAATTACGCACATAGCAGGTGTTGAATTGGAAATGTTGTATTGTGTATATTTTTCCCCAATTAAAATAATAATAATAATAACTAAACTAAAAATGAGTATAAGGAAGAAGAAAATGCTCTAACATTGATTGTGGTAATAATTGTACAACTCCTCTTTTTTATTTCTATTTTATTTATTTTTATTAAAAGATCTTTTATTGTGGGCTCTTACAGGTCTTATAACAATCCATACATAACTTGTATTAAGCATATTTTTACATATGTTTTTAAAGATTTTTAAAGATTTACTTTCTATTTGAGCTCTTGGCATCAGTTCCTCTTTTTTCCCTCCCTTCCCGACTCCCACCCACATCACCCCTTGATATTATAAATTATTGTTATTATTTTCATACCTTACACCGACTGATGTCTCCCTTGTCCCACAGTTTCTGTTGTTTTCCCCTGGGGGTGGGGCAGGGGGGTGTTATGTGTTGATCATTGCTATTAGTTCCCCTTTCCTACCCTCCTCTCCTCCCCCTCCCCCTCCCCTCTTGGTATCGCTACTCACATTCCTGTTCCTGGATTCTGTGTATCGTCAGCTCTTATCTCTTTATATCTGTTTCTGTGTGCAACACTTCTTGATATGTTTGAACTATTTAATTGTATATGATATGTGGGAAAAGTGCCAATAAAACTGTAAATAAAAAATTAAGAAAGCTTAAATAAATAAATAACTATCCTACTGCATCTTGGAATAATTGGGGAGCAGTTTCAGATAGACATAAAAAAACAAAATCACTGCCATGAAGTCATTTCTGACTCACGATGCCTCTACAGTACAGGGTAGCACTGCCCCTGTGAGTTTCTGAGACTGTAACTGTTTACAGAAGTAGAAAACCCCATCTTTCTTTCTCCTGAGGAGCAGCGGATGGATTGCAGCCCAAGGCATAACCTCGTACACTCCAGGGCACCGGATTCTATTGATTCTCTATTAATTAAGCCAATGGTATAGAATTTAAAATATTGTTGAGGAAAGGAAAGTATGTGTGTACAGGACAACTTTTTAGACTTACATACATGACTTATCCACTTGTACAGATTGAAAAATTAAGTGACTGGACACTATTCACGAACACATTCGGGGTTAGAAATAGGGCAAAACTTTCAATAATGCTCATTTACAAAGACATACTGTGTCTGCTAGACTGACATGTCATTAAAAAGCAAAGAGAGTATGAAAATAGCAAATATATGGTAGTCTTACATTGTCACTTATTAGGTATCTTCAAAGCAAAAGATTTGAACTAACATCTATTGACTTCCAAATCCATAATCATGTGCTTCTCATTCAAGGGCATTTCAGCCATATGTCCAAGGGATTGGCTCAGTTCCTTTAGTCTGTTACAGGTGTGTTTACAGTAAAGTCCAGTTTGCTTAGTGGGGTTTCCAAATTAGATTTTTTCAGGTGTGGTCCATGAATGATGCCATGTACCTCTCAAGGACAGTCTAAGTCCCAGTTGTCAGTAATATGGGGATTGGTCACCAACAGTTGTATATAAACTGGGGCAGAGATGTCGGCTTAGGAATATAACACAGAGCATATTCTCTACTTCAAACCAAAAATGACCTGCCATCAAGTTGAATCTGACTTACAATGACCTTATAGGACAAGGGAGAACTCCTCCTGTGGGCTCCAAGAATGTAAATCCTTTTTTTTCTTAAATCATTTTATTGGGGGCTTATACGGCTCTTATCACAATCCATACATACAGCCATTGTGTCAAGCATATTTGAACATTTGTTGCCATCATCATTTTCAAAATACTTGAGTTCTTGGTATTAGCTCCTCATTTTTTCCCTCCCTCTCCCACCCTTCCTCCCACATGAACCCTTGATAATTGATAAATTATTATTATTATTTCATGTCTTACACTGACCAATGTCTCCATTCACCCACTTTTCTGTTGTCCATCCCCCTGGGAGGGGATTATATGTAGAACATTGTGATTGGATCCCTCTTCTGCCTCACCTTCTCCTTACCCTCCTGGTATCACTACTCTCATTATTGGTCCTGAGGGGTTTATCTGTCCTGGATTCCCTGTGTTTCCAGCTCTTATCTGTACCTGTGGACATGCTCTGGTCTAGCTGGATTTGTAAGGTAGAACTAGGGGTCATGATATTGATGAGAGGGGGAAGCGCCCAAGAACCAGAGGAAAGTTGTACGTCTTTATAGGAGTAGAAAGCCTCCTCTTTCCTCCACAGAGGAGCTTTGAACTGCTGATCTTGTGGTTAGCAATCCAATTTGTAACCATTGCACCCCATGAATTAGAGAAGTCTATAGAAGTAATGTTAAGTGTTTTCCCAGGTGGCAGATTGCTCCACCTGGTTCACCCCCCAGGAGAAGTGAAACCACTTCCTCTGAGACAGATATACCCTCCCCACAAAACCTCTGGACTTGAATTTCCATTAAGGTTCACTAACCGTGCTTTCAGGAGTGCCTGTTGATTGGGGGGAGACTGTTATGTACCAAGTACCGGTATGAGAAAACAACCCTAGCTGAGGTGAGGCCTCCTCTTGTGGAAGTGGTTTTTAAGATGTACAATAAGGGAAAAATTTATACTGAGCATTAGGTAATACAACACCTCGTTGCTTGAGACACCAGATTAAAAGATTAGATGACCGGAGAACAGATGCCTGCTTTAGCTTGGTGTTTATCCTTATAGTAGTGGTCCCAACAGTTGTCCTTTTAGAACTGACTAACTTTGCTTAGCACACTGGTGTCATGAGGTTTCATCGCTGTTTTTCAGGGATGTAGAGTATTCCATTGTGTGTATGCACCAGAGTTTCTTTATCCAGTCTTCCATTAGTGGACATTTGGGCTGCTTCCAGCTTCTTGCTATTGTGAACTGTGCTGTGATGAACATGGGAATGCGCATACCTGTTCCCATCGTGTCGCTTTTTTTCTTTGGGGTCTATACCTACAATTTGCATTGTAATTGACCAATCACTTGTAAGAGTATGGAAGTTATAAGACCATTGATAGAAAGGGGATATAAAAGCAATACATCACACTGTAGGGATGGCCAAGAAGCATTCAGATATACAAGAGGTTTATGATCATGAACATGAAGTTAGACCAGTTAATATAGTTGTGTATTTCTCTCTAACCACGTTTAGCTGATTGGATATTTGGGGGAGGAGTGGGATGACACCAAAGTGTGGCGAGGAAAACGAAATCCCAGATCGTCTTGCTTTGAGCCCAGACCATCTGTTCTTCTGTTCCCCCGGCTCCACATCTGCTCTGTCAGGCATCAGCTGCACGCGCAGCACCTCGTTCGTGGACGCTAACCCCCTAGAGCTAGATCAGACCGCACCAGCAAAAGAGCACTGTCCAACACACTACTGAATCTGCCTCTCTCCTGACAAACTGACTACAAATTGGACTGTTCTCATTCTACCTTCAGGACGCCAGCCCAAGCTCAGGGTCCTTAAGGCTCCTTTGTCTGATCACCTGAAAAGTCCTTCTTTCTTCTGGGTTTGACAGTTTCCTAGAGTGGCTCTTGGCTGTCAAAGAAAGTTTGGGACTTACAATAAGAGTTTTATTATAATGAAAAGGTTTGGGCAAGATCTGAGAGTTTTCCCAACCGGGAAGTTCCAAGTCACAAAGAGAGACACGGGTATCAGTGTCTGTCACTAAGCTGCCTCTGGTCTAAAGCCTTTAATGGGGTTTGATACGTAGCTAAATGGATGGAATCATGTTTTCTCTCCATAGGTGAGCTGGTAGTCTTTCTGACTTCCCTGTCCCCACCTTAATCACTTCATTAGCACAAAACCTCCCTTGTGGTTCAGCGCCCTCAGCAAAGACGCTTTGATCATTGGGGAAATTTCAAGATTTTACAAATTATTTCCAAGGAAGTAAGGACACACATATATAATTCTTCATATAAAGTTAATGTCACAATATTAAGGAGAAATATTGGGAAAGAAGTCAAGGATAAGCTGGGTAAAGCCACGCCAAAGGATGTCAAGTGATGAGACTTTGTAATTGCCTGTCATAGGCCTTTCCCTTCACCTTGAGGGCTGTGTACTAAAAACTATGGTAGGAGAAACAAATCAGAGAGCCATGGCTATAAAATTAAATTTAAATGAATACATATTTATTGAGTATATCTCAACACTAGAATCTGTCCCACAAGTACAGTGTAGAAACTGATACAGATTTGTCAGGAAACCATTGTGTATCTGGAAATTAATTCAGACCCAAGTATAGCTCACCACATAAACTGTATTCTTAAGCTGTGTCCAATAGAGCACCATGTCAGAAGGTGAAGAACAAGATTTTATATTAACAAGTATAAGACACTTAGAAGTACTTGTGGCAACTTCTACAAATACAGAAAGAGGCCATAATACATGCACAAAGGAAATTCGTTCATCATTGTGTAGTCTTCATTATTTCTTTTTACTTTGATACACCAGTATTGCTGTGCTTCTCTGCTTGTATCACTATATTCATGGAACCCTGGTGGCACAGTGTATGAGCATTGGCCTGCTAATAAAAATGTCAACAGTTAAATCCACCAATAACTCCATGGGAGAAAAATGAGTCAGTCAGCTTCCATAAACATGTATAGGCTCAGAAATCCTAGGGAGCGATTTTACCCTGTCCTCAAAGGTCCCTGTAAGTTGGCGTTGATTTGACAGAAATAGATTGTCACTATAGTTACTCTTAATAACTATATACTGAGTACCTACTATAAATAACACATTTTTATATCAACTATAAAGCACATACAAATGAATCAGTTAAGATCTCTACTCCCAAGGAGCTTACAGTCTAATTGTGTAATTCAAAACTATTCACATTGTGTAAAATGCATAGGAGAGAGTATTAAGTAGAGAGTTTAAAAACTGATATGATATCACTCTGGGAAAAACTAGGGAAGTTTCTTATAAAGCTAATTATCTGTTTACCATAATGTCTAGAAATTGTACCCTTGGAATTTCTCCCAGAGGAATAAAACACATGTTCCACAATACTGTACATGGTAACTTTATTATTAATAGCTTAAAATGGGGGGGAACGGAAATATCCTTCAATGGGTTAGTGGTTAAACAAAGTATGGAATACTACTTAGCAATAAAAAGGAATAACATATTGATGCAAGCAATAATAGATGTCAAAAAACATGATGCTGCGTGAGAAAGAAAAAAAGCCAATCCTCAAAGGTTACATACATACTGCCTGGATTTATCTTTATACCATCCTTGCAATAATCAAATTGGAGAGATGGAGAACAGGTTGGGGAGGGGTGGGAGTGTGACTATAGAGGGATAGCATAAGGATCCCTGAGTTGAAACTCTTCTATCTCTTGACAGTGGTGGTAGTTACATGAATTTATGTATGCGATAAAAGTAATGTAGACATAAACACCCGCTTGTGTATATTCTAAAACTCATGATATTTAAAAACTGCTTATTTATTATTTTAATGTCAATTTCCTGATTGTGACATGCTAAGCAAGAAATTAAGCAAGATGTTCCCATCAGGGAGGCTGGATAGAGGGTACGTGGGATCTCTCTATTATACGTTACCGCTGCATGTGAATCGACCATTATTTTAAAAACCTTACATTTCAGAGTTACTGAGAAATGTCTTCCATTTGCAGTGTTCATGGAGGAGGCAACACTCCAACTAGGCTTGATAGGATCCAGCTTCTCTATGGCTGAAAAGGTGTAGCATCTTAAAATAGTGAAATGAGCAATTTGAAAAACCCTCCTGGTTATAATTGACAACTAGTATGTTTTGGAATAATCCCAATAAAACTTTTTAAAAATCTGAATGAAATCAGCCTATCCCATTATTATGTCTTCATTAAAAAAAAAAAATTCATTCACTCACTCACTCACTGTCATTAAGTAGATGCCGACTCACAGCGACCCTATAGGACAGTGAAGAACTTCCCATGTGGATTTCTGAAACTTTAATTACTCACAGAACAAAAAACCTGGGCTTTCTCCCTCAGAGAGGCTGGTGGTTTTGAACTGCTGACCTATCAGATTGCAGTCCAACGTGAAACCATAACACCCTCAGGGCTCCTTCAAAGATATTTAGTCAATGTATTATGATCAAGTAGCATAATACTTAAAATGAAACTTGTTTTTCTTTTTATAATCACGGTTATAGCACCTACCATTTTTCTGAGGGCCTATCATGTTCCAAAAACATGCTGAGAATTTGCAAAACCAGTCTAATTTTAATTCCTACAACAATCATCTGAGATAAATATTCTTATCCCTGTTTTTTAAGTTGAGACCTAGAATCTTTAAATAACTTAAGTCACACCATAAAAGCTAGGAAACACTTCTTAAAATTATGGTGTAAACAATAATAAAACTATGTTTTCTGTAAAAGTGCCCCTCAAAATATTTATTGAAAGATTAATATATACAGATAACTCTACGGGTTCAGAGGAAAGACTGGTAAAGGGTAGAAATGAGGAACCAATTGTCTTCTAGTACAATTAAAAATTATCATTTTAGTCCTAACTTTTTCCTCAGTGAAATGTTTAACATGCACAGGAATGCTGAAACACTCTCTTTCAAAGGGAGTTTTCCTTTACAAATATGATCCTTTTATGTCTCTACTTCTGTGCTCATAAAACTATAAAATTAGAGCTTTTCTTCACTGTCATTTGGGGCTCTATTTCCAAATTTTTTGTAAGAGAAAATAACAAAAAAAATTTTCTCTAAAAAAATAAAATGTAAGTAAAAATTCAACTTTGAAAATTTCTCCTCCGTTTAAATTTTTTCAACTTTGTTGCTGAAGGAGTATTTCAAATCACTCGTACACCACAACTTTTACGTATTTGGAATCTAATCTCAAGGAATCTGGAAAGTACTACTAATAATGCCATTTTACATAAATCTATTTTACGTATCTATGCAAAAATGAACCGTATTCTTTTGCATTTCAACACCTGAATACAGAAAATCTATATTTTTCAGAATTGACCATCTGAGCAATTTTCCTGCACTACGTTCTTTCTACGGCTTGGAGGCGCCACCTTGAGGCCCAACTGGAGAATGCACTGAGAAAAGGGGACGAGTGAATGGGACAACCGTGGGGTGGGGCTCAAGGAGAGACGGAACTGCTGGGATCTTTACTGAAACAGACTGCATCTTTTTTCTCCGAAGACCATCTGCTGCATTTAAATGGTGGCCTTTAGCTGAGCTATCACACCACCAGATTCTTTTAATGGGATGCTGAGCAATTTTAGTTGTAAATCTATTTACATCTTAAAACTCAGCAGTTTTCTCAAACGTATTTCACCCCCTGAAACATTTCATTAAATGAAACAAAAAGATTTTGTGCAAAACATTAATTCATGTCAGTTTATTTTTCAGGTTTAGCCAAGCTTCTAAATTTTATCAATTCATTTGCAAATATTATTTTGGTCAATGGAATGAAAATTTTTTCTAATTTTGATTGTCAAAGTGATTCTCTTAAAGTCCAGAACTTGCACAACTAGCTGTAGCCCATGAGGAAAATGTAGCTGAAAGACCCAATGAAATATCAACATTAACCTGTCCATATGATGTGGTGCCATTCCTAGTTTCATAACGCAACTGAATGTTGTGTCTTTAACAGCCAGTAATAATTTATAAAAGCTCTAATTATGAAGATGATTGATATTAAGCTTCTATTCTTCAGTTTCACATCAAAGTAGTTAGCAATTCTGTACCTAACTAGATGCAGCTGAGAGGGAACTTCGAGGGTAACTTCCTTATGATACTTTCCATGTGAGCCCAAACAAATTTAACACGACCAACAGCCTGGTGTACTGGTTATACACTGGGCTGCAATCAGCAAAGCAAGCAGTTGGAAACTACAAGCCAGCTCCTTAGACAATGATGTGGCTTTCTTGTCCCCTAAAGAGTTCAGTCTCAGAAACTCACAGAGCCAGATCTCCCTTTCCTGGACGGTCTCTATGAGTCGGCATCAACTCAATGGCAGTGAGTTTGGTTTTTCGGTTTGGACCAGTCCTATGCAGGATGTAAACACAATACCGAGAACAAAGAATATCTACAGTCATCTTAGACTTTGAGCTCTTTGCCCTGGTTTCAATGGTATGACTGAAACGTCATTCTAACTTTCTATTTCTTTCTTAGTCTTTGCAGTCTGTGAAAGATTTAAATATACAAGTAGTTGGTTTTAATCCCCTTCAATTCAAAAGAGACAGAGTATGTCTTCATTCCCTCCCATTCAAACACACACACACACACACACACACACACTTTACCACATAAAATATGCTGGTTGTTCTCAAGTGAATTTTCAGTACAGCCTTAAATCTTAAAAGAATTACCAATAAATTGCCTAGAGGACTTTTTCTCATCTTCCTCTTCTTTATAAATTGTCATATCATAATGTTAGCACATGTAAATTTTATTTTTTTATTATTGTATATTGATGTCCCTGGAAGTTCAATGAGAAACCAAAGCATATTTGTTTTATCTCAGCCAAAGCAGGTACATTATACAGAATTTGTATAATTATGTTACATCAAAAAAAGGAAACTTCCAATCATTTATCTCAGTAGTTGTTTGATGAGATGTGAAAATAAAGCTACAATTTCTTTCCTCTGTAATTCCTTACTTAAGTCCCCTCCATTCTGTATCACAAAGCATTTCATGTTCTGTTATTACTTCTTGCTTGACCTTGTATAATGAAGATGATCATTTCCCTCACTCCACTAGAGGGAAAAAACTACCCTACAGTTTTAAGTTTACCTTCACTCTTAATCCTGCGCCTAGAGGGTGAAAATTTACTGTGATGAGAGTAGCTGGGAAGATGAAAAAGAAATCACTGCAAAGTCTATACACCCATGAGAAGTTCATGTCAATAAGCCACAATGCTGATGACAGGACCCAAAGAGCGCACGTTGGAACGTAGTCCATCAGGCAGAAAAAGGATGCTCATGTGAGGAGCAGAGGGAGGAAGAGAATGTATGCATCACGCAGTTAGACCCTGCTCACCTACAGAACATCTTTCACAATTCCCTATCTCCAAGGATGGTCTTTCTGTCTCAGATACCAGTTTTAGAGGCGATCCAGTCACGGAAGGCGGTCACTCGGGTATAAACCCCGGGCTTATTTGGTTCCCCACATTCATCTCCCCAGCTTACTATGCCAGCAAGATACCAGATGTCCCTAGCATTTGGGCTGGACAGTGGTCCTCCGGAGTCACCCTAGGGGAAAGGAGAGATTAATAATTAATGATTCAGGTCATTACGGAAGAATTTGCCATTTCTAACTTAAGACTTTGATGAAATGGGTTATTTTTAAATCTTCAGTGCGTCTAAATGCAGCCATTCTTCTTTGGATATTTGCCAGGTATCGATGTAAAAAGAGAGCCCCCAAATTCCTAGAGAACTGGCTTAATTCTAGGTTCAGTCGAACAAGCTTGAAGGCCCCTCCTCATCAGAGAGTAGCGTTCTTAATTTATATGATGAATAAGACAAAAATAATTCCATCAGCTACCAAGCACAATTGCCTCTTTATCAGTGTGGCATAGCTCCCTGCCCCAAAGGTGAAGACTCTATTACTGATCCATAACGTGGGAGTGATAGTCACACACCTGGGATTCAATTTCAGGTCTAAATCCATTGCAGTCATATCAACTCGGCCTCACTGCCACCCCGCACGTGCGTGTCAGAGTAGAACTGTATTCCGCATGGTTCTCAAATGGCTGGTTTCGTTGAAAGTCATTCTTCAGGCCCTTCTTCTGAGACAGCTCTGAGCGAACTCAAGATCCAAATGTTCGGTCGCTAGCCTAATGCTCTGACAGTTGGCATTGGTCACTCCATCTCGGGCCCAGTGAAGACCTTCAATTGATTTACTTGTTAATTCTCCTCAGAGGACCTAACTCAGAGGATTATTCTGAACATTTTGTATGTGAGACAGTGAGTGTATAGTGGTTAGCACAGAGCCTGACAAGGCAGGACTTAACAAATACATTGTCTCTGTTTTGTGAACTCTAGAGGATTATTCTTTTTTTTTTTAATTATTTTATTGAGGGCTCGTACATTTCTCATCACAGTCCATACATACATCCATTGAGTCAAGCACCTATGCACACCTGTTGCCCTCATCAATCTCAAAACACCTGCTCTCCACTTCAGCCATCAATATCGTTTGCTCATTTTCCCCCTCCCTCCCCCACTCCCCCTCCCTCCTGAACCCTTCATAATTCATAAATTATTATAGATTTGTCATGTTACCCTGTCCGACATCTCCCTCCACCCTCTTCTCTGCTGTCCATTCACCAGGGAGGAGGCTATACTTAGATTCTTGTAATTGGTTCCCCCCTTCTACCCCACATTCCCTTCACCCTCCAGGCCTCGCCACTCTCATCACTGGTCCTGAAGAAGTCATCTATCCTGGATTCCCTGTGTTTCAAGTTGTTATCTGTACCAATGTACATCCTCTGGTCTAGCCAGATTTGCAAGGCAGAATTAGGATCATGATATTGGGGGGGAGGAAGCATTAAAGAACTAGAGGAAAGTTATATGTTTCATCGTTGCTACCCTGCACTCCTCCCCAAAACCCCTCAGCAGGGGGGTGTTCTGTTGCCAACCGATGGACTCTGAGTCTCCACTCTGCACTCACCTACCTTTACAATGACATGATTTCTTGTTCCTTGATGCCTGACACCCAATCCCTTCGACCGCTCGTGGTCACACATACTGGTGTGCTTCTTCCATGTGGGCTTTGTTGCTTCTGAGCTAGTTGGCCGCTTATTTATCTTCCAGCCTTTAAGACCCCAGAAGCTATATCTTTTGATAGCCAAGCACCATCAGCTTTCTTCACCACCTTTGTTTATGTACACCTTTTTTTCAGTGATCATATCAGGAAGGTGGGCACCCACTGATCTGATTTTTAGTTCTTTGATGTCTGATAACTGGTCCTTTCTGCACCTCATGGTCAGACAGGCTGGTGTGCTTCTTCCGTATGGGCTTTGATGCTTCTCAGCTAGATGGCCGCTTGTATGTCTTCAAGCCTTTAAGACCCCGGACACTATATCTTATGGTAGCCGGGCACCATCAGCTTTCTTCACCACCTTTGCTTATGTTTCACATTTTTCTTCAGCAATCGATTTGGGAAGGTGTGCAAGGATTATTCTTTATAGAGAGCATTCAATCATTCCTCAGCTAATAAAGTCTCTGGTTATTGACTATCCATTAAGTGTTCACCATTCTATGAAACTCTTAATTAACATTAAATAAATAGATGTATTCCTTGCAATAAATCATAGAAAGATATTTTATTTTACCCATTTTTATTTTCTGAAATTCAAAAAAAAAATTAACTTTGCTATGGTGACATATCAGTCAATATGGGATTTTGAATTTGAACCCAGAGTTCTCTAACTCAGAAGAGCAAGGTGTTTCCACTTACATTAATCTACCTTCCTGTGAATTGCCTTATATTCCTATAAAAAGAGTAAAAATATCCATAATAGATTAACTTAAAATAATTTGTTATCATTTTCCAGTCAAATAAATAATAAATATCTACTGATATCCTATTATGTTGAATGTGTTTGACACAATGGATGAATGGATGGATTGTGATAAGAGTTGTACGAGGCCCCAATAATATTATTTTTTTTAAAAAAAACCTGGTAAATATAAGGGCTTTTTCCCTTAAGGATATTACAGTAAAACCTGTGTAAGGCAAAAACCTGTCAGAGCAGATCAACTCATATTTTTTTACTAACAGATTTTAAAAGTGGTAAGATTATAGGATGTCAACGTTGAGAAACTTGTAGACTCAGAAAAAGCGAAACTGTATTGTCAAGTAGAAAACAAAATAGCAACAACAACAACAAAAACAGAAACTCAGGGACCTGTGAAGGCTAACAAAATATTGAACAAAAGGAAAAGAGAAATAAGGAAGAAGGTAGGGTAAAAAGTAGTATCCCAATAATTAATGGCTGAAAAACCCTCAAATTTGGTAAAAGATATGAACCTACAGATTAAAAAAACTAAGCAAATGCCAAGCAGCATAAATCCAGAGAAATCCACCCAAGAGGCATGATAATATAACTTCTCAAAACTAAAGGCAATGGAAAAAATTATCTTGAAAGAGGGACAAGAAAAGTGCATCTCATTTATAGGGAAAAAAAACAATTGGACTGACGGAAAATTTGTCTTCAGAACCATGGAGGCCAGGTGAATGTGATCAAAGAACAATTAATCAGTTTTCTTTAAGTGCTGAAACTAAACCTGTCTCAAGTTCTATATTCTATAAAACCATCTTCCAGACATGAAAGGAAAATAAAGATTTTTTTCAACACTAAAACAAAAACCTAAGACAATTTGTTACTGGCATATCTATCTAACTTAAAGAATGGTTCAAAGGAATGCTAAAAGAAGAAATCTGAGAAAATTAGGAAGGAGCGAAGAACAGCGGACCAAGCAAACTATGGGTGAATACAATAAACTTAATCCTGCTATATTTTCTATGTTACCTTTGACAATTGAAGCAAAAATTTTGTTCAATGTGGTCTTCAATATGGGTAGAGAAAATATTTACTGTTTATGTCTATTAATATTTAATAATGTAAATGGGACTTAAGGAGAGGTACGTTTTCTATTCTACACTTTGCCCAAATTGGTAAACTATTGGCAGCTCTAGACTGTAATGAACTAAACACATAATGTCATATCTAGAAGAAGCACTAAAACGCTTCCACCAAGGGATTAGCGGAAACACTACGCTGCTGTAATTGCCAGGTGCCCTTGGGCTGGTTCTGACTCATAGGGACCCTCTATGCGTGGGAACAAAACACTGCCTGACCTTCGACATGACCAAAAACACTACAAATACATACGAATATATCTCTAAAATAAGGTTACTGTGTGATTCCATTAGCGTTACAATCTCTAAATGACAAACTTAGAAAAATATGTGGAACATACTAATAATTGTCAGAGATAGTGGGAAAAAATAGATATTATTATGAAGGAAGATCTTTGTTTTGATAGAATAGTTCTCCATCTTGACTTTGGTGATAGTTACATGAATCTAAACTAGAACCAAACCCAAACCCACTGCTGGCAAGTCAATTCCAACTCAAAGTTGACACTATTGGACAATAGTAGAATTTCTCCCTAAAATTTCATAGGTTTTAAATCTTTATAGAACCTGACTGCTTCATCCTTTTCCCAGAGAGTGGCTGCGTGTTTGAACAGTGAACCGTTTGGTTTGCAACCCAACATTTAAACCCACTGCACCACTTACACAAATCTTACGTGATAAAATGCCTTTGATCTATCAACACACAGTGTAGCAGGTCAGTTCCGTGATTTTAAAAGAAAATCCAGTGACCCATTTCTGTAAAGATTATAGACAAGTAATCTTTATGTAACTCTCAAGCACATGGTAACTGTTTTATAAAACCTTAACACATGGGGTTGCCATGAACCAGAGGCTGAGTTGGCCACCACTAACAAGACCAATCATTATGTAAGATGTAAACATTTGTGGAAATTAGGTATGGAATCTTTGCAACCTTCTATAGTATTTTGAGATTAAACGTTACCCAAAAGACATGTGTCACACTAATAACTAAAACTTCTTACCTGGCATGCATCTTTATTTCCTTTCAAGGAGCCGGCGCATAGCATTCTGGGAGTTATGGCACCATTGTAAGCTCGAGGTTCATTGCATATTCTAGTGTCTATGAGATCCACCTGTACTTGACGAAGTTGATTTTGACTGCTTCCTAAAAGGAAAAAATACCATCACTGTATTTGTTAGTAGACATATGAAGAAGCTTGAAAAAAATCATGGAAATTTTCCGTTATCTTTTTCCATAAACTTTTTGAAACCCTTGGTTTATTATATAAATTTGGAGAAAAAACTCTCACTCTCTGCAATTGAATCAGTTCGGACTCATAGCCACTCTCTAAGCAGATTAGAAATGCCATTGCAGCATTCTGTGATGCTCACCTTCCGGACACAATCGCTGAAGACAAAGTGGGTTAATAAGCAAATGTGGTGAAGAAAGCTGATGGTGCC